CCCCAAAACCCCAAAACCCCAAAACCCCAAAACCCCTTAGAAAATAATTATATTTGAATCAATTTGAATTTCACAGAACAACTATGAGGTCTCATAAGGGAATAATGGAAGCAATAACAATGAGCCGGAAGATAAATCAATCAAATACAGACTCAAAGGAGGACTTCAGGCTCCCACCAGCAAATAAGTACTCTGGATCAAGAAAGCAAGTCAAGGTTAAGCGTCAATCTACTAAAGGCGATAGCACTAGACTTGGTTCGAAAAACTCTGACAGGATGGGAGGAATGGTCCGTGGTGATACCATCGGGTCAATGAAGACTACCCAAGACCATGAAAATATCCCTTCAAATGCCTTTGAAAAGGTTCCTAATAAACTTAGTTCCTCCAATCTCAATGATGAAATAGATACTTCTGGGCTAACTGAAAAACAGGAGTTAGCTCTTTTGAAAAACAAAATCATGGATCAGAGGAAAGAACTTGAAAACAGGAATGATATCCTGACTGCTCTGCAACGGAACTTTGAGGCCTTATCCATGTTCTGCAAGAAAGAAAGAGCTGAAGCTCAGAGCATCAAAAATATGAATGAAAAGCTTAAAGAAGAAATTCGAAAGTATATCGAGAAGATAACAGGCATGGATAATAAAATAAAGACTATCTCTGCAGATAATGAACTCCTGGCAAAGGATCGCATCAGAGCCAAGAAGTTAGCAGATGAGCTTCATGATCTTAAAATTCAGAAGAAAGTGGTTGAAAAGAATCTCGAAAACTCTAGAGGTCAGTGCAAGAGGATCGGTGATGCAAATGAAAGAACCAAAAGTGAACTACAGAAGCTCAAGCAGGATTATAAAATTGAATGTGAGAAAACTAAGTCCTTGCAGCAGAAAATCAGAGATGAAGATGCTAGAATAGCGAATATCAATAAACAACACCAAGAAGAAATGATGAAGTTAAGGGATGAGCATAAGAGAATGATGGACGTGCTTAAAGATAATATGAGCAAACTCAAAGGAAACTCTGCTAAGGAGCATGGAGATCTCATGAGCGAACTCCAAGAGACAAGGAATAAAGTGAAAGAACTTGAAAAGATAGCTGATAATGCTCAAAAGGATGCTCATACCAAAGATGTCCTCCTCAAAGCTGAGAAAACTAAGGTAGATTCCTTAAATACTCAAGTGGCTGACCTTCTTAGAAATATTAAGAATGGAAGTTCTAATTTTGATTCAGAGAGGAAGGAATTACTAGAGAAAATTCATGAGCTAACCAAATCAAAAGATGTGTTGAAAGCCCAATATTCTGAGCTAAATTCCCGTCTGACAGATCTGTCTCAAAAGAACCTTAGTAAAGAAGATCAGGCGAATAGGCATATGGAAGAGCTCAGTAGAACTATTAACAACCTGCAACTGAAGATAGATGAGGCAGAATCTGAGAAGCAAGAATTGATTGATAGGATCCAGCAATTAGATCAAAAGATGTTCTCTACTAAATGTGATCATGATAATGAGATAAAAGAGCTCAAGAGACTCCACTCTGATGCCTTATCTCTTAGAGAGAAAAAGATAGAGGAGCTTCAGATGGAGGTTAGAATGATGGGCCAAAAACTCTCCAGCTCTGATAAAGCTACTAATTCCAGTGAGAAGGAAATTAGAGACAAAGAAAACGAAATTACCAAGCTAAAGCAAGAAATAGAATCTTTAACTGAAAGAATCAGAGTTATGCTTGCTGAGATGGACAAGAAGCAGGCCGAAGTTGAAAAGATGGAGAAAGATAAAGCAGATAGGGAGAAAATATTTGAGTCTAAGTTATCCCATCATCTAAAGAAGATTCAAGATTATGAAGCCAGAATAAGTGGATATGAGGGTACAATTAATGAACTGAACGAAAAGATTACTTCTCTGGTGAACTCCCATGCTCAAGAGGGGAGCAAAGGTAAAGATGCTGTCAAACAGCTAGAATATGAGATTGCCATGCTCAAAAAATCCCACAAGGAAGAGATTGACAAACTTAAAGGTACAATAGAGAAAGAAGTCAGAGCTAAAATGGGAGTTGAGAAAAAGCACAAAGAAGAGATTTATGCTTATGAACAGAAAATTCTGTCCCTAAATAAGGAAATCAGAACTAAAATTGGAGATATAGACCATCATAAGGGTGAAATAGAGAAGCTTAAGGAAGAAATACAGTCTTGTAGAGGCTATGCTGACTTGTTGAAGATAGATATTACAAACCAAAAGGAAGCTATAAGCCAACTTAATGAAGAAAACAAAGAATTGCAGACTCATAGTGACTTCCAACAGGATGAAATTGCTAAGCTGAAGGCCAAACTTGGCAACATTCCTGATTTTGATTTAGAAGAAATAGCTCTAAAAGAGAAAATTGCAAAAATGAAAGAGTCAAAGATCAAGGCACTAATTGATAAAATAGATCATGTAATGGCTAGTATGGAGAGCAATATGTGATGTTATCTCTGTATGGAAATTTTTAATGAAGGTCAAACGATAACACCATGCGGTCATAACTTCTGCCAGAAGTGATTGGATGAACACAAACCTGACAAATGTCCCAAATGAGATAAGAAGATTACCTCCAAAATCCCTGACGTAGTAATAAATGATGTGGTCGCAAAATATCTATTCCAAAGAGACATTCTCTCTTCATTTAAAAATGAAGATGTGTGGAAAAATATGGCTGAAGATAAGCCTTAACCAATTTTCAAAATATATCTTTATCTTCGGGGTTTTGGGGTTTTGGGGTTTTGGGGTTTTGGGG